TGCATTTAATTTGACTATATTTCATGGACCATTGTAAATTTTGATGACAATGGGCAATTTTTAAAATCCGAATTTTCAGTCGACAAATTCTGCTTAAAATGCCAATGTCATGTGGTGGTTAAGAGCGGGCAGACTCTAATTTGGAGAACAGGCTTTGATTCCCCACTCCTCCACATGAAGCATGCTGGTCAGGTGGCCTTGGGCCAGTCACCATTCTCTCTGAACTCTCTCGGCCCCACCTACCTCACAAGGTGCCTGCTGTGGGGAGGGGAAGGGAGTGTGATTGTAAGCCACTTTGAGGCTCCTTAAGATAGAAAAAAGGGGACTATAAAAACCTACTCTTATTTTCCTCCTTCTTTTCATCCCTCCCTAGAAGGGTATGTATTATTTTGTGATCCACTTGGCCTATACTGTGTCATACCATTCGTCTATCAAGGTTAGTGTGGTCTTCTCTGACTGGCAGTGGTTGTCCTGCATTTCAATTTTATTTATTTATCGAAACATTTCTACTCTACTTTTCTTTGTGGTTCAGAGTGGCTTACAAGGCGGCTTCAAGCAGCAGTCTTTCATATTACACACTACCTGATCTCTTTTTTTTTACTGGAGACGTTGGGCTTTGAACCGGGGACCTTTTGGATGCAAGGTGATGCTCCATCCCAGATCCACAGCCCCATCACTAATCTGTCAGGTGATGCATGTGTGGGGGATGGGGGCTTCAGCTGTTACCTTGTACATGTTTAAGCATTTGTTTTAGCTCTACCGTTCATACAGTGGGCTGCCCCCCATCACTAATCTGTCAGGTGATGCATGTATGGGGGATGGGGGCTTCAGCTGTCACCTTTTACATTTTTAAACATTTGTTTTAGCTCTACCTTTCATACAGTGGGCTGCCTAGGTGCTTAACTTTAGCTAAATTCTGCCCTTTGTCTAGTATCCTTGCTATCCTGTGCCTTTGAAAAGTACTGGGTGAGAAATCTGAATGAACATTCAAAGGACATATTACCTACCTAAAGCAGATTCTGTTTGGTAATGTTTCCATAGTGTTATGCTTAATTCAAGTAAACATTATCCAAGCCAGCTTGAGGTCTGAGCACTTTAAACGGGGTGATGCATGAATTATTCAGTTCCGTAGAAACGTACTGTTTGGAGATGAGGTACACATCCTCCAATCCAGTACATATCAGGGAACATCCACTACATGTTTCAAATTGGATATCATGCAGATTAGCCAGATAAAAATGACAAAATCCTGGAATTCGCAAGCACGGCTGCTGTGAACGGTTCCCTGTTTTGATTTTCAGGGGAGCAGAAATCTCTCTCCTCCGCTCAAACGAACTTAAATATGCAAATGCTCATCTTCTTATGGAATTGCTCGCTTGCTGTTATTATTTTTCCTCTCTGTGGCTCGCTTTGGCGCCAGGTTTTCCTCATTAACAGTTATTCCTCCTTCATAGTCAATCAGAGATCACATATGCTAGCATCACACCTAGCCAACTGGCCACACATTGACATCAGGGCCAATGGAGCCAATTTGGAGTGAGGGCAATGGTCTGGGGATGGGAGTTCAGATCACAGATCCTGTAATCGACATGATGAAGCCCCTGAGTTATTTCGGCTGCAAGCCTGACACTTTCCTAAGAGTAAACCCCACTGAATAACCTGGGACTTGCTTCTGAGTAGACCCAGTTAGGATTACTCCCTTATTCAAACAAAATTACCCGTTGCTGTTTTTACTCCTTGGCTGGGAGGGCGGGGTGTAAATTTGATAATAAAAATAAATAAATAAATGTGTTCCTTGTTACTAAGGGGAAAGGAAGCCTATTCATATGGAAGGGAATGCTTCTTGAACTGGGAGAAAATGAAGGGGTAAGAGGGATTCCTTTAAAAATGTGCACAAATATCATTTCCTTTTAGGTCAGCACAATTCAAAATATGCTTGAGAAATGTGCAGATTATCCAGATAACATGCACACTATCCAGCCGTCAGGCTTTGTCTGTAATATATACGGTGAATGCATGTACGATCTGTGTGGTGGGATCCATAACTATACGAGTGACTGGTGTTCCTGTGACTGTCTCTAAACAGGTACTCTCTTTGTGTGAGTCTTGCAGAGAGAGGTACTACTCTGTGCAAGTAAGACATAACTCAGTTTGTTCTAGGGTAAGAGTGTCACACCTATAATGCATTGGATGTACTTCAGGAAACTGTTTGCTAGCATCACAAACTCTCTCTTCTCCCCCCCCCCCCTTTTTTTTGTACCTTTTTACTTTTTTCAGGTTCTTAAACTGGTTTGGAAAGGGCAAATTTCTGCCATTGCTTTATCAACACGGCCCGAATTTGTGAGCAGAAAAATGCACAGGAGATGCAATTCTTTTCCTGGCTATCCCTGAAATATACCGAGCTCTCATTGCAAACGTGAAGCGCTAAAAGAATGGCCACGGCTACATGGAATCCACTACGGAGTGAACGGGAGATGGACTGGGGCTGATTGGTTGGTTGGTTCCTGGCCGTGGAATCACTGCTTGAAAGACCCATGTGATTCGGTTCCCATCCACAATTGAGTTTTTCAGCTTCGTTATGGCACCTACATGTGAGCCACCCGCACAATGGGTAACATTTAAAGGGCTCTGATGAACAAGACGAAGCTTTGACTGAAAGTGACAGTTGGGGAACTGACGTCCGTAAGTATGAGCTTTGGAAGGGTGGCCCTATTGATTTGCGGTAGAGGCGCTAGATTTGAGTCCAGTAAAACCTTAGACACCATGAAAACCTTGAGCATATATAAGCTTTGGAGAGTCAATGCTCCCTTCGTCAGATTCTGACAAAGGGAGCGTTGACTCTTGAAAGCTTATACCTCTTGGGCTGCGATCACACACACTAAATAATGCACTTTCAATCCAGCTTCAATGCACTTTCCAGCTGGATTTTGCCAGTTCACATACTCTTTTGTCCCTATTGCTTTGTGTCCCCACCCTTTCCCACGTGTGTTTTGCTCCCTCTGGGACTACTAGAAAGAGCAAAACACATTGGGGGGGGGGAACCCCTGAAGCAATAGGGACAAACTAGAGACAAAAATGACAGTGCGGAAGTTGGAAAGTGGATTGAAAGTGGATTATTTAGTGTGTCTGATCCTAGCCTTGGTCTCTAAGGTGCCCCCTGGACTCAAATTGAGCTCCCCGAAAGTGTTCGATTATCATGGCATGTTTTAGCACCAACTTGCATTTGAAAACAGCCAGTGGGTCCAAAAATAATGTGTTCTGCAGATGTTCCAAAGCTGCTTAATTTTTTTAAAAAAATATTATTTTGTTTATCCCAGTATTCACTGGACCTGCAGTGAAGGCAATCTTTACCTCCCCCTATTCTTAAAGGGGCCCTTGACACTTACACACAGAGGAAGGAGATTATTGCATCTCCAAGAGGGGGGGGGAAAGCGGATTTACGAGGAGCCCATTGACAAAAATCTCCAACTAATTTATAATATTTACAACTTGGCACTGGGTTCCTAGATTATAAAAATGCATTTTGGAAGGATGGCTACTTATTTAACTGGTGGAGCAGAAACCAAAAGGGAACGGGGGGGGGGAAGGGGAGCGGGGGGGGGGATCTAAGTGTTTTTATAGATTAAATTGGCAAATGGCAGGCCAGAAATTAAGCCAGGCTCATTATTAGCCCCATTACCCAGGATTCCCCTCTTTCTGTGCTTCTCTGGCACTCACCCCTAGGCATGGAGCGCAGACAGTCTGGGGGCACCTAAGAAGACAGCTCTGATAAGGCCTTGGGGACAGATCCGGTTGGTCAGCCATGTCGGTTTGAAGCAGTCCAACAAATTTAGAGTCCAGTGGCACCTTTGAGACCAACAAAGGTTTATTCAAGGTATGAGCTTCCGTGTGTCATGCACACTCTATCAAAAACGTTAGAATGGCAGGCAAGGTTCAAACTTAGAGCCAGAGAATGAACAGCAAATTAACATGCGACTGTGATGACGATCAAGATAGGCAAAGTGGCATTAAATAACAAGCTAAGGTTATAAGGTCAACAGTTGTAAAGCAATAAATATGTCAGACTTTCAGATAAATCAATAAACATGTCAAACTGTCAAAATAGGTCAAACTGTTGACCTTATAACCTTAACTTGTTCTTTAGTCACATATCTTGATTGTCATCCTGTTGCTTGTTAATTTGCTGTCTATTCTCTGGCTCTAAGTTTGAACCTTGCCTGCCATTCTACGTATTTGATCAAGTGTGCGTGCACACGGAAGCTCATTCCTTGAACAAACCTTTGTTGGTTTTAAAGGTGCCACTGGACTCTAAATTTGTTGGCTTTGGGGACAGTTCATTGAGAGGAGTAAAGACATCTCATAGTAGCTGAGGGCAAGATTGTGTCCCAGATTCTCCTTCTGGTCACTCAGGGTTGCCAAGCACTGCCTGGCAACCAGTGGGAGGGCTGGGGGGAGGTATGGGAGGGGTGCAATGTCTGCTGTTGGGCCATGCCACTTCCGATAAAAAAGAGGAAGTGACAGGGGGCTCAGCAATTGCTGGGAACTCTATGGTTTTACCATAGAGTTGCTGGTAATTCCTAGAGGTACCCAACATCACTTTGGGATTTTTGACTGAAGTGTCATGGCATCATACGTGACACTGTGGTTTAATTTTTCTCTTTCCCCCTGCCGATAAGAGAGGTGGTGGGCAACGGAAGCAGAGGGTAGAGGGTCCCCCACCTCTTCTGAGGGAATGTGACCCCTAAGGTCGTTCTGGAAAAGGAGGGAGGCACTGATCCTTCAGCCTTTGCTAAATGCAAAAACGTAAGAATTGCTGACCAGGGCCGAAATGTCTGGATCAACAGGGGTGGGGTTTTTTTTTTAAAGCAAATAGGGATTTTGTTTATGAATAGCTACAGAACTTCATCTCTTCAATACATTGTCACCCTCCAAAGGGGTGGGGGGTGGGGATCTGCAAGGATAATGAATGGGACACGCAGAGATTAAGAGAGTTGGCTTACCCCAGAGACAATAAGTTCTCCTCCCAAGTTCTGGACTTCGGCCTTCACCTTGCTACAGATATTAAGCTGGTGGCAGTAAAGAGCAATGCGCTGGAGGTACGCTAACAGATCTTGTTTACAGGCCGAATCGGGGCACTACAAATAAAAAGAGAGAGAGAGAGAGAGAGAGAGAGAGAGAGAAACACAAAAGTGATGTGATTTATTACAATCTGAAGTCGATATACTAGCAACAGCCGCGCACTGCTGTATTAGAGGCATTCATTTTGTTTAACCCTTTGGCAACACGTTTAATCAAGGCCAGTTTTCCTCCCTGGCAAAATGACTGTATGTTAAAGCACAGAGGGACACAATGGCTAAAAAAAGATCACCAGCAGCAGTGTTTGTCACTTACCTGATGAGCTGTAAAGCAGACGGAATAATCTCTATTGCTGTTTCCTGAGGACATTGCTCGATTTGCACTAAACATAAGGCTTTACTGAGGCGTAATGCACATTCTTTATAGCACAGTAAGGACTACATTTACAAGAGATCTTTCAGGTCTGCAAACCATTAATAAGGGGGAAATGAAGCACGTTCTGTCGTTCTTGTTTTTTACTAGCAAATGACAGTTTTGCTCCAATAGCAGAACGCCACTGGCAGCGCTCTGGCGGCACACGGTTGAAATCGGAAAGGCATGGGTGCCATTAAGTTTGAGCAAACCAAATGAATGCTGGGAAGTAGCACGATAGGTATAATAAAAGGCTTAATTTGATGGGTTGATTGATTTAGAGAAGAGGAGGAAGAAGAAGAAATTGTTTTTATACCCCACTCTTCCCTATCCTAAGGCGACTCAGAGCAACTTACAATCCCTTTCCCTTCCCCTCTCCACAGCAGACACCCTGTGAGGTAGGCGGGGCTGAGAGAGCTCTTTTGAGAACTGCCCTTGAGAAAACAGCTCTGAGAGAACTTGAGACTGACCCAAGATCACACCAGCAGCTGCATGTGGAGGAGTGGGGAAATCAAACCCGGTTCTCCCAGATCAGAGTCCACACTCCTGACCCCTACACCCAACTGGCCCCTTTATATACTCCTTCCTCCTCCACTGGGACCCAAAGCGGCTTACACTGATCTGTTCTCCTCCATTTTAGCCCCACAACAATGATGTGACGTAGGCTGGGCCGAGAGGGTGTGACTTGACCCAAGGTCACCCAGCAAGCTTCCATGACAGACTGGGGCTTGCACCCCAGGTCTCCCAGATCCTAATCCAATACTAAACCCTGGGAGGGCAGGGGGAGGACAATGACAACAGCCTCGCTAACAAGAGACGGCCTGCCATTTCCTTTTTTTAAAACATTTTATTGGTGGAATATTATAACAAGATCAACATTAAAACAATATTTTCAACCCATATCCATTTCTTTAACCCCCACCCCCTCTTCTGGCTTCCCGCAGTGGTCCCACCCCCTCCCCTTACATCTCCTCTTCTAATTCTCTCATCTCTACACATCAACAATTAAGATTGATTAGTAACCTTTTCTTTCACATATTTCTTTATCAAATATTTCACAGTCTATCGATTATTTTTAATAATTATCAAAACAAAATAGATTATTCTTCGCATCCCAATCTTTCTCCAGATATTCTTTAAAGTCCATCCAATCCGCCATAAACTCCTCTGGATCTTTATTGTTCAATTTCCTTGTCAATTTATCCATTTCAACTATAAAAAGTAACTTTTTGATCCATTCCCAGATTTCAGGCACTCTTTCTTGTTAGACGGCCTGCCATTTCCCACCAACAATCCAGTAAAGAACAACGCACAGCTTTAACAGTATCAGTTGCACCCAAAGGACGCTGTTTTCTGTAAGGCAACCCAATGAAATCTGGCAAAGAGAGCTGATTCTCACTGCTGGATGTTTGGCATCAAAGGGGAAGAATGGAAGGAGGAGGAGGAGGGCAGGAAGGGCTGCCTCAGTGCTTAATTCTTATGGCCCTTTCTTACATGCCCAGGCAGGGCCGGCTCGCCTACTAGGCGAACTAGGCCTTCGCCTAGAGCACGAGCCGGCCGTCAGGGCGCAGGAGGAGAGGCAGGGGCACCGGAGGACACAGACGGCAGCGTGGGCAGAGCGCTCCAGCCGCCGCAGCATGGCCAGAACCTTCGCCCGCGCCCTGGCCGCCCGCAAGTCCGCCGGCCTCCTAGCCCTGTTGGGCGCCGCTGGCTCACTCACCGCCGGCCTCCTGCTCTCCCGAGGAGACTCGGCCGTGGGCGCTGCCGCGGCTCAGCAACGCCTCTACCCGGCCAGGTAGGACTCCCCCGGCCCCCCTCCGCGGCCAGACCCACCCGTGAGGGGGGAGGCGGCCGGCCGGTTGCCTGCCTGGCATTCCGACGGTGCCCGGGCGCCCCTAGCTGACCGGGGCGGGGGGGCGCGACGGAGCCAGGTTGTGTGTGTGTGGGAGAGCTCCCAGCTCCCGCCTGCCCTGCAGAATGCAACTCCCAGCTCCATGAATGCCCCGCAGCCGCAGGGGCTGGCCGGGCGTCCTCTGCTCGCGCCCCGCTCCTCTCCCTTCCGCACCGCCGCTGCAGCAGCCGGGGGAGGGAGGCCGGCCGGGGGCAGGAGTGGCCCTTATTCAGCACGGCGCTTTCCTCCCCCCCACCGCCGCCGCCTTCTTCCTCAGCCTCTTCTGCCCGGCGGCGGCGGCGAGGAGGAGGGCCAGGGACGCCCAGACTTCCCCCACACACACACACACCGCCCGGCGCCTCAGGAGTGCTGCGCAGCGGCAGCAGCCGCAGCAGCAGCTGGGGAAGCGAGGCCGACCGGGGAGGGGGCAGGAGTCGCCCTTCTCCGGCGCGGCGCTTTCATCCCGCCGCCACCACCGCCTTCTTCTTCTTCTTCTTCCTCGGCCTCCTGCCCGGTGGCGGTGGCGGCGGCGGCGGTGGGGGGGCGGGGATGCCCAGACCCTCCCACACACACACACCGCCCACGTCTCCAGGCCCCGCCGGGAGGGTGGCATCTGCGCTCGCCTAGAGCGCAGGCCAACCTCGGGCCGGCCCTGTGCCCAGGGAAATGCTGATTGCCACTTTGGGGTCAGGGAGCATTGGAGTTGGTTTCAAAGTTCCTATCGCAGGCCAGGCCCACCAGAGTGGGATAAATATGACTGCGTTAAATTGTTACTAACTGGGAAAACGTCGCTTTGGGATTCGCACATGAAAAGATGTGGCAGCGATTGGACAGGAAGCGGAGAGAGAGCAGCCAGTTTTCCGGCAGCATCCTGTGTACAGAGAAGATTAACCTTAACCATCCCTGAGAATTCTCAAGATGCTGGCTCTGTTGACTTAGGGGAGGGGAGGGGGGGAATATGCAATGCCGTTGCTGTCAGGGCACCCTCCGGTAGGTCCATTATGCTGCAAAGATCAATCTGAGCTCTGCTTCCCCCTTGACGCTAGTGTGTATGGTAGGCCGGTGTTCCCTCTAAGCTGAGTTAGTGTGAGCTAGCTCACAGATTTTTTTAGCCTCTGGCTCACGCATTTCTGTCTCCGCTCAGGAAGGAGGGCTCCAGAGCAGACTAGTTGATGCAGCAGCCAAATCGCTCGCTCACCGCTCTAATACCAGTCGCTCACAGAAGTAGGATTTTCGCTCACAAGACCCCACAGCTTAGAGGGAACACTGTCAGCTCCCCGGTCTTGTCTTGTTGCTCTGAGCTCTTCTTTTTGTGCTGCGTCCAGGAATCAGGCAGACGTCTTAACTGAATAACTGTCAGAAGCAGCGATGGAGGGTCACAGAGTAGACTTTTTGCTCACAAGACTCCACAGCTTAGAGGGAGCATTGGCAGCCCTCACCTATCAGAACCATGGCTTGCCCAAGGTCATCCAGCCAGGTGCAAGTGGAGGAGTGGGGAATCAAACCCGGTTCTCCCAGATTAGAGTCCGCGCACTTAACCACTACACCAAACGGAAGGGAATTTGTTTCCAATGGCCCCTGCCCAGTTCTACGTTTTGGTGCCATAATGAATTGTCCCTTTCCAGCTCTCTAATACAGCTCCTATACACTGGAGGTGTGTGAACTGGACCTTTTCCTAAAGAAAAGTCTGAGGAAAACCAGCTAGTTTTAAGCTACACAAAGACCAAAGGAGACTTCCTCCTTGTGGGATGAAAGTTGACAAGAAGACTCATGAATACCAGCCCACGTTTCCTACAAAGGAGAGGTAATCGGAACGCCGAGCACATCACCCTAAAGTCTGGGCAAAATGCTTCACGGCTTGGCGCTGCCAGGCAAATCCCTTTCGAGAGCAACGATGAAATTACCTGATCAGCCACCGCGCGAGCCAATTTGTCCATTCTCGAGCCAGCTTCGGCAATCTTCTTGGCAGCATTAATGACGTCGGATGTATTCTTCAATGGTCCTTTACCCCTAGAACACACAAGGTAATTACGGTGGCATCTAATTAAATTATAAAAAATAAACAACGTTAGGATCCCGCAGAAGGGTTTTCATATTTTCCTTCTCCCCGCCTTCCCCGTTTAAAGGGTTGCACTCTGAATGCCTTCCCAACGACATCACCTTTAAACTACTTATTATAGCATAGCATGATTTGTGTGTGTGTGTGTGTTTTAATAGGGAATGGCTGGGTTTCCGTGTATGCTCCAAAATGCTTTGCCAGCATTCTCTTTGATTTTGCCTCCAAGCTTGTGAACTATACTTAACAGTATGTGCATTTTTAAGTGCTCATTAAGACGACATCCCCGGGGGAATGCAAAACTTTTTTTAAAAATTCAGTTATTCCCCATGCAGTGTTTACAGCAACAGCTATTGCAACTGATGGAAAAAGTGGTGGTATGGGGGGGGCAGATTTCCATGGGAGGGAGTGGGGCAGGGAACAGGATTCACAGCAGAAGAAGAAGAAGAAGAAGAGATTGGATTTATACCCCGCCCTTCACTACCCAAAGGAGTCTCAGAGTGGCTTACAAGCTCCTTTCCCTTCCCCTCCCCACAACAGACACCCTGTGAGGTAGAAGAAGAAGAGATTGGATTTATACCCCGCCCTTCACTACCCAAAGGAGTCTCAGAGTGGCTTACAAGCTCCTTTCCCTTCCCCTCCCCACAACAGACACCCTGTGAGGTAGAAGAAGAAGAGATTGGATTTATACCCCGCCCTTCACTACCCAAAGGAGTCTCAGAGTGGCTTACAAGCTCCTTTCCCTTCCCCTCCCCACAACAGACACCCTGTGAGGTAGAAGAAGAAGAGATTGGATTTATACCCCGCCCTTCACTACCCAAAGGAGTCTCAGAGTGGCTTACAAGCTCCTTTCCCTTCCCCTCCCCACAACAGACACCCTGTGAGGTAGAAGAAGAAGAGATTGGATTTATACCCCGCCCTTCACTACCCAAAGGTGTCTCAGAGCAGCTTACAAATTCCTTTCCCTTTCCCTCCCCATTTTGCATTTTGACTATAGCTGTATATTTATTGCACTGTATTTATACTGTTGTTATACTTAGGTTAAAGCACATTTATAGACTTTGTAATTATATGTGGTGGCTCAAGTGGTTAAGATGCTGAATTGCAGACGGTAGTTCAGCCGTTCAAGACCCAAGTGCCGCATGACGGAGTGAGCTCCCGTCTCTGGTCCCAGCTCCTGCCAACCTAGCAGTTCGAAAGCAAGAAATTGCAAGTAGATAAATAGGTACCACTTCGGTGGGAAGGTAACAGCGTTCCGTGCGCCTCGGCGTCAAGTCATGCCGGCCACATGACCATGGAAATGTCTTTGGACAGTGTTGGCTCTTCGGCTTGGAAACGGAGATGAGCACCGCATCCCTAGAGTTGGATTTGACTGGCTTTCGAGCAAGGGAAATCTTTACCTTTACTATTTATTTATTACATAATTTTACATGACATAATTGTGTTTGGGTTTACTACTCATAGCTGTGTCCCCCGTTTACATAACCTCCTTAAGATCAACAGTGAGGGGGCAAGGCACACCTCTTGGGGGAGGTTGTTCCATAATAATAATAATAATTCTGGGCCTACCATGGTCTACCTTGTAGGGTTGCTGTGAGGATTAAAAGGGAAGAGAGGACAGTAATGTAAGTGACTTTTGGTCTCCATTGGGGAGAAAGGTGGGGTATAAGTGCGTGGACTCTAATCTGGGAGAACCGGGTTTGATTCCCCACTCCTCCACTTGCACCTGCTGATGTGACCTTGGGTCAGTCACAAGCTCTGGCACAGCTGTTCCTGAAAGAGCAGTTTGTGTCAGAGTTCTCTCAGCCCCACCCATCTCACAGGGTGTCTGTTGTGGGGAGGGGAAGGGAAAGGAGTTTGTAAGCCGCTCTGAGACTCCCAAGTGAAGGGCGGGATATAAATCCAATCTCTTCTTCTTCGATAAATTAAGGAAATAAATAATTAATAAAGCCGAAGACTGGAGGGGCAGGTAAAAGAAAGGTTGGTTGTTGAGTGGAAAAGGGGGAAGGAAGCAGGGAGAGAGGAGTAGATATAGGGGCTGAGAGGTGGAGAGAAAGAAGAAAAAGTATGGGGAAGCAGGCGCAGGGGGAAATGATGAGTCCTTGCAGGTTCCCTGCTTGCATTTTCTGATCTTCGGTTTTCTCCGATGCGGGGCATCAGGCAACACGCTCTCTCAGCCAGTGCTGTAAACAGATACTCACCAAAACCAAACCCTACTCTGCAGAGCAATGGTCAGAGTGGATCCCCTGCTCCGATGTGTTCCCAGGCAGAAAGCTGGACTCCCCTTCAGTTCCTTGCTTCGGCTTGAACCACGTACAATCGTGCCGTTCAATTGTTCCCGTAATGCATGGGAAGGAGTAACAGTCATGCTCCTAACCACGAATTAATTTAGCATAATGATAGTTGGGGTGGTATAATAAAAAGATACAGGGAGAGAACATTGGATGGACCCTTAGAGATCAGAGTGCAACCTTTGTAAGCAGAGGCAGCATGTCTCTGAGTACCGACTGCTGAACTTCATTATTATGCCCCTGCTCATAAACCTTTCCGAGACAGGGGGGCGATATTACCGTGACAATTCTTGTACATTTTGCCTTTGATCTCCTTGGCATTCAAAATTACATAAGTGGAGTTCCCGCCATTATAGCTGATTGCCGGTGTAAAGAAATGCATTTTTTTTTTCCTTAGGAGGCTTGAAATTAGCAAAACCTAAACTCTTGAGTTGGTTGTTTTGTTTTTTTTAAAATCTCTCTGGGCAGAGAACAGGGAGGAAGGGAGGAAGTAAATTCAATTGTTTTCCAGATTACCTCGGCCCACCTTCATACAAATGCTAATAGGTTAGACAATGGGATAGTCTCTCTCCCCCCCCCCCAAAAAAAGCAGGGAACAGAGACTTAGAGGTGTTAAATACTAGAGAGGCTTCAGGAAGGAGTTGCTGAAGAATCTCCAGGAAAAGCTTTTCTGGCCCAGCCTGACCTGGTCAGTGGGTGGGGAAAAGAGAGGTGATGAAACTCCTAGAGGCAATGAGGCAGCTGCTTTGGTGCTGAGCCCATCAGAGCAGATGGAACTCTTAACTGAGGTCTGGAGGAGGCAGCCATTAACCATGCACTGGCCTGAAGAACTGGAGGAAGCTGCAAGGCCACGGAGACTCTGTAGAGATCTATAGCATCCTAAGCTAAGGAGCCTGTCCTATATTTTAACATCTGAAAGGTCATATATTGAGAAAGGGACAAAGGAACTGTGTTTTACCCATTCCTTTTGAATCCCTTGCTCAGTCTGGTGCTGTGCTAAAAGTATGCTTGTGAACATTTTCTTTTAAATAAATACTTTATAACTTTTGATGCTGGTAGTGGCTCTCTGTACCAGATAGACCCCCACCATCTTGGACATGCTATTTTAAAAGGAGCGCCAGGGGGAAGCCAGTTAGTTGGCAAGTGGCTGTTCCTCCAGGGGCACACAAGGCAGTAAAAGGTTTCCGTGGTGACCAGGCACTGGGCAGTGGGAGACACAGAGGCAAGGCCTCAGAGTCAGAACTTGGAAGTGGATCTGGGAGTCCTTACAAGGTCAGGTGGTGGCAGTGGTGGCAGTGGTTACCCAAGTTACTTTTTTCCCACAATAGAGAACAATGAAGGGGATGGGGCAACCTGTTTGGGGGCCCGTAGAATTGGACCCCCTGGTCCAATGTTCTTAAAACTTGGTTGGTATCTTGTGGAGAGGCTCCAGCAGCTACCCTGTGAGATTGGAGCCTCTCCCTCAAACCAACTCCCCTTCAGCCCACTAGAATATACCCTATGTTTTTGCCTTTGACTTCAATGACCCATAGGATATAATGGGGCCGAAATTGACATTCGTCTGGCTGAAAGACTCCCCAATTGGCTGGTACTGCCGAAATTGACACGCGGGAGTCTTTCTGCCGGCCAAAATTGATTCTGCCCGATTCGGCCGCCAGTCCAGGACGGAGCCTGTGGGGCTGCTGACAGGTGGGGAAGTTGTGGGGCCTAGGTAGGAAGTCGGGGGGCCGGGCCCCAAAATGCTTCAATGTAGCTACGGGCCTGAAGCAGAGGCTAGATGGCCACCTGACAGCAATGCTGTTTCTGTGGACTTAGGCAGGTCATGAGAGGGAGGGCAGGAAGGGTTGCATCAGGGCTTAGTTCTC